GGGGTTGCCCCCCGGTTGGGTATGCGGCCCGGCGACACCCGGGGACGAGGCCCCGAGCAGGGACGGCGCCCCAAAGGTGTGGGGTCGGCGCCCCGATGACCGAGGGACAGGGCCCCAGTGAGCCGGAGGCAGCGCCCCAAAGGGCCGGGGACGAGGCTGAGCGGGGACAGCGTCCCAAAGAGCCGGAGAAAAGGCCCCAAAGACGTGGGGACAAGGCCCTGAGCAAGGACGGCGCCCAAACACGTGGGGACGGAGCCCCAGTGATCCGGGGATGGAACCCCAGTGAGGCGGGGATGAGGCCCCGATGACCCATGGACGGGTCCCGAGCAGGGGCAGCGCCCCACAGACCTGGGGATGAGGCCCCAGTGACCCCGTTCAGCATCCCGATGACCCGGGGACAGCGGCCCGGCCTGGGGGCCACGCCCGACCCCGGACAGCAGCCGGTGACCCCGGACAGTGCCCCGATGCGGGACAGCGCCCTGGTCAGGGACGGTGCCCCGGTGTCCTGGGGACAGTGCCCGGTGACACTTGGGCATTGTTCTGATGGGAACTGCCCCCCAGGCAGGGTCTGTGCCCCAAAGACCAGGGGACAGTGTCCCACCAGGGACAGCGTCCCACCGGGGACAGCACCCCGACAGTGGACAGGGCCCTGACCAGGGACAGCACCCCAAGGACCCGGGGACACCTTATGGACCTGGGGACGGGGTCTCCCCCCCGCCCCCCCCCCCCAGGCTTTGGATGCTGACGAGGAGACCTGAGCTGTGGCTTTCATGAGAGTCGCTCTTTTCTTCCAATAAGGCGGCGTTTCGATTTCCAGAATCCCTCGCGGATGGACCGCAACGTGGAGATGTTCATGACCATCGAGAAATCCCTGGTGCAGGTAAGAGGCGTCACCCCTGACTCCCCCTGGGACCCCCCCGTGTCCCCCACCCACTCACCGCTCTGCTCTCCTTCCCCAGAACAACTGCCTGGCCCGGCCCAACATCTTCCTGCACCAGGAGATCGAGCCCAAGCTGCTGAGCAAGCTGAAAGACATTGTCAAGAGGCACCAGGTTGGTGGCAGCACCGGGGTGGGGGCCACAGCGGGGGGAGCCCATCCGGCGCCTTCTCCAGGCACTCGGCCCTGGACCCACTCCCCTGCTCTCCTCGCAGGGCACAGTGACCGAGGACAAGAGCAACGCGTCCCACATCGTCTGCCCTGTCCCCGGGAACCTGGAGGAAGGTGGGTGCAAGGGGAACGCCCCCCCTGCTCTGAGCTCC